AAGGCAATTCTTCTGTCCATTTGGTGACCGCTATCAGCAATTAAATGAGTCAAAATAGAACTTCTCATCAATTTCATTTGACCTTTTCCGAACCATTAAGGAAGGAAGATGCTCTGTAATACGTATGTTGAGCTATCTAATCGTCCGCCCTATATCAGCTTTCTCCTCAGGAGCAGCTGAATTTGTAAATACACATAGAAATGGCACAACTAGGCAGCTTGTCTTTCGTTTGAACAGTGATAGTCGGTCGGTTTCTCCCTTGGCCTAGGTAAATTCGAATCAAAATCCTCCCCCAGCTTTTCTTATTTTCTATTTCCTCTATACTTTTATGATATTTATTTAAACTCTGATTATCTATCTGTTCACTTCACATTTAGTATTACGTAACTTTTAAGATTTGACCTAATTTATTTATTCCTTGAATTGTCTACATATACACATATCACTCACTAACTTTGTTATTCTTATCGCCACCTGCATAAATCTTATTGTCAATATTTTGTTATCATCATTACTTGCACTAGCAAGTACAAAAACTCAACCATACCCTGCTCAGCTCGTATTCTGTACGATAAAGAAAGCATTAGGCGTGATACCTATAACTTATTACATAGTCAGTAGAACAATTGGATCTAGTCCTTCCAACTCATATCATGTATAAGTACAACATTTTCTTCTTTTCTTTCTTTTCCTTTTCTCTTTTTTTCTGTTATATGCTGTTTTGTTTCTCTTTTCCTCACAAACTTTACTTAAAACATTCTTCTTCGTTCTTTCACACTCTGTATATCTCGACCTTTTTGTGTTACCACTTACGCCAGTAAATATGCTAGTATCTACTTTTCTACTAACATCTTCAAACATTCTGTTCACTTTTGCCTTTGCTACCGATATGCTACCGATATGTTGTTGTCAAAATTAACTGAGACTACCCATAATCTATGCAGAATTTTATTTATTGTTAATGTACAAACTGGATGCAATACTGTAGTGAAATGCTGAGAATTCCATGCTGTATCTCAAGTACTGTTTTGGAATAAAGCAAATTATTATTATTATTATTTCTCCCCTGCACACTTCTGTTCATTTCAGTACTTTTAAACCTCTTTCTTTTCTCTCCATTCTCTACGGTTGTATGATGACTACAAAGTATAAGGACTGAAATAACTCACAACAGTGTTTTGTCAACTATTTATGGACGTAATCATACTTTCTTTCAATTGCAATGATTAGTCATAGTCGAATGACCAATGATATTTGCTTTAACTTTAAGGATTTTTACCGAAATTCATTGACCCAGCCCTAAATAATGGTCAAGCATTGAATGAATGGCTTAATTGTAACTTTTATATTATTGAAGCGTTAGTTAGGTGGCAGTAGTTTCGTAATTTCTTAGAAAGTATAAGATTTTTTTGCATTGGAAAGTATAGAATTTCTCCATAAACCATCCCACAATCAATCAACATTCTAAAAGAATGGCTACTGAACAAAGAATACGCTTTTCGATAACCTGCTCTTCATCAGGCTCTACAGTTATATGCACACGTAATAGTGAATGAATGAATTAGTGTTATGAACAACATTAATGTTGTTTAAATAACATCGAATAAATAATGCCACTGGATTACAGTTCAACAGCATCAACATAACAATAAACTGAATTTCAGAAATATTAGGACAGATAATAATACAAATTCATGAATTTATAGTCTCCACTGAAAGCCGGCCGAAGTAGTAGTACTGGCTGGTTGGACTTGCTTCTTTTGAACACAAAACATTGGTTGTTTCACGCGAATTGCGATGGCCTCTGCTGTTTGGAGCACGCTGTACCTTGATGTTTTCGGCAATATATTTGGCACCCGGCAGATGATAGAGAAGGATTCTTCAATGCTGGCTATCCGTAAAAAAGAAGCCTTTATACATATGACTGCAATTCAAGGGCGATATACCAAGCGAAATAATTACGAAGAAATTAAGAAAATCATTTCAAAAACTTCTAATACTGGTGAACTACACGTCTTATTTTCTACACGACCGATGGTGGTGATTCCTCGATTGAAAGATGAAGTACCTAGACCAGCTAGCCACTTCCAATTATATCTACCGATTCAACTGTGCTTGTGGTGGAGCGAGTTACACCGGCCGTTGCTCTAGGAACTTGATTTTTCGTGCCGGCTCGAGAACATCTCCCAGTATGGCTAAATAAAGGTGTAGTGAAAACCATCAACAGTTCGACATTAGACCATCTGGTGCAAACCGGACAAAAAGCAGCCAGCATTGAAGAATACTTCTCTATCATCTACCGGCTACCAAATAAGTCTCCAAAAACATCGAAGTACCGCATGCTCCAAACACCAGAGGCCATAGCAATTCGCGTGAAACAACCAATGTTTTGTGTTCAAAAGAAGCAAGTCCAACCAGCCCCTACTACTGCCTTGGGTGGCCTTCAGTGGAGACTATAAATTCATGAATTTGTATTATTATCTTTCCTAATTTTTCTGAAATTCAGTTTATATTTATGTTGATGCTATTGAACTGTAATCTATTGACATTACTGATTGCATGTTATTTAAACATTATGGATGGATATATAACTGTAGAGCCTGATGAAGAGCAGGTTATCGAAAAGAGTATTCTTTGTTCAGTAACCATTCTTTTAGAATGTTGAGCTCACCAGTGGTTACCAATTATGGTAACAAGCAAATATCATATTGTAAAGTAATTTGGTGGATATTGACGAACGGTGGAATCCAAGACAACCTGCATTTCGTCCTATCTGGGACTCGTTCACTGTCTAGATGTACATGCATGCCATAGTAAATGAGTGATGGTGTTCTCACTGAGGCTTGAACCTAGTACCTGTCGTTTCAAACGACAAAGCAGATATATCCGGATGACGAGTCCCAGGTAGGACGAAATGCGCGTTTCCCTGGATTCCACTGCTTTTTACCATCCACCAAATTGCTTCAAGCTCAATCTTTGGACATCATCGAAGCGTCCGTAGAAGGAGCTGACGTGTCAACAGAGGCCGAGCACTTCTGTCCAACCAGTCATCGGGAAAGTGTGTCCACAAGCTTGAAGGAACTGCTGTCTCCTTCCAATGTGTTGCAGTTAGAAATGTTACTGTTGAGATATTCACGCCACAATTAATCTCCTTTAGGACTTTAATGCATATTTAAATGATTGAATTTTATTGGCATTTAAATGTAAATTTTCATAAGGAATCAATATGAATTGGAAGTCATTCCAAACTAAGTATGACTAGACATATGTTTCGTCCAAGTTGGGAACTCTTCATCAGTGAATGCCCAGCTCATTGAGCTCAGCATTCAGATGGTTGTTCTGAAAAGTTATGACCAGTAGTAGGGCCCAGTATATCAAGTTGAAAAGTATACTCATTGGAGACACATTGATTGAGGGTAATGGTGTATATTACGAACTGACAAAGTTAGAATACCGGGGTCAGTGAATTCCAGCCCAAATAGCTGAATGGTCAACGAGTTTGGTCTCACAATCTGGAGGTCCTGGGTCAGATCCCTGATGGGGTCATTTTTGTGTACTTTGCTGAAGAATCTCAGGCTAGAATGAAACAGCTGTCCAGTGCTCTCTAGTTTTCAATGATGGAATCTACATAGAAACTTAATGAATATGATGGTTGGCCACTGTATTCAGAATTCAAGATAGTGGGGGGGGGGTGATCAGCGACTGATATTAGTTGGAAAACCATTGGAGATCGTGGGGTACTGGACAGTTATTTCGTTCTAGTTTGGATCTCTTCAGCCATACACACACATGATCCTCATATTACAATACCAAGGTCGTTGACCAATCAGCCACTGAGAAGGAATCCATCGCCTTATGAATTCTAACTTAGGCTATTTACCGATATAAAACAGCAATACCAGTCAATATCGTCGGTGAGTATTTCTCCTCACACACCTCCGACATAGTGTATTGCACTGGTCACCCTCCCCTTCCCCCGGTAGTCAGTCATTAACGACCATTAGATTAATTTTCAAGTTGCAGGTTTGATAACAAGCTGACATCAAGTAGAGAGTCACTGGAAAACCAGGGAATACTGGATAGCTGTTTCGTCCTATTTCGGGACTCTTCAGCGAAATGTATTCATGGTGTTTTCAACCGAGGATCTTATGTGACAAGGCGAGCTCGTAGACGATTTAGCCACCGGGACCTGATCCAATCATCCATGAACTTCAACCTCTGCCCAGTACTCCCTGGTTTTCCAATGGTTCTCTGACTGATATCAACTCGTGACCTGTAGCCAATCAAATCCTTGGAACTCCACACTTCATCATTTTCACGTGTTAGGTTACAGTATTTCATCATGAGCTGACATTGGTTAGAGGACAATTGGAAAACCTGGGAGTACTGGACAGCTGTTTCGCCCCAGTTTGGGACTCTTCATCAGTACGCACCCACAGTGGGGTTCGAACCCAGGACCTACTGGTTACAAGGCGAGCTTGTAGACCATTCATCGGCCACTGATACCTGATCCAATGGCCAGCCCATGAATTCTAACTTCTGCCAATTCTCGATATAGCGCAACCACTAGCCAGTGTCTTCGGAGAGTATTTGTCCTCACACCCAACCTGCTGCACCCTACTGATCACGGCTTCCCACTTGAACCCCAGGTCGTGCGGTCGCGCTATATCGTGAATTGGCAGAAGTTAGAATTCATGGGCCATTGGATCGGGTCTCAGTGGCTTAATGGTATACGAGCTCATTAGCCTTGTAAAAAGAAGATGCCGGATCGAACCCCTTGGTGTGTGCACACTGACGAAGAGTCCCAAAACAGGACGAAACAGCTGTCCAGTACTCCCTGATTGGTTTTTCAACGGTTCCCTAACCAATGTCAGCTCATGATGAAATCCTGAAACCAATCAAATCCCTACAAACCAATACCTGAATTTCACGTGTTATTTTGCAGGTGTTAATGTGTTATGTGTTCTCTAAATAATATTTCTTTTATTTTTCTTCATTAGACTGTGACAATGGAGGATACTTGAAATGTGAGAGTTCAGTAATCACCAAAACAGAAGAGGCAAATCACTGAAGCAATCCAAAAATAATGTCATCCTACCAATCGCAAAGTGTATTCGGTCATACTACAAATATTAGTTCAGTAGCCAGCGTGTCTGCCGATCTAATAGCGCATCGTGGAATATGGCGTAAAGTGATTTCAATGATTATATTTCTGGGATTTCTGCTAACATCATGGGCTGTGATTGTGTTGCATGCAATCAATTTTACCCATGAAAGTATTCTAGAATTGTCTGTATCAATATCTGTACTGATTGGGGGACAGTATATCAGTGAGTTCACAGTGTTTTGTGTTTTATCCATTCTTGTATTTGTTTCTTCAAATAATTCAAAGGAGTGTTGGTTTGTAGAGGTTTGATTGGTTACAGGATTTCGTTCTGAGCTAACATCGTCTAGAGAACAATTGGAAAGCCAGCTGGGAGTACTAGAAAGCTGTTTCCTTCTAGTTTGGGACCAGTAGGACACACCAGGTCTGGTATAAGGAGAAATACTCGCCACCGATGATCCTGACTAGTGCTCGCGCTATATTGTGAATTGGTAGAAGTCGGGTTGATCTCCGACGAAATCTCAGCACGAAGACAGTGAGCTAGTTTCGCATATGCCAGTGTACACCGTCTCTGAAGTAGATGTGATATCCGGCTATCGACCAAAGGGCGGGTGTACTGCTCAGCAAAGCAGTCCGCTCCGTCCTCCTTTATGTCTGTGAGACCCGTCCATTGAGAGTGGAAGACATGAAAAGATTAGCTGTCTTTGATCATAGGTGTCTGCGTACTATCTCTTGCGAGAAGTAGTATAATAAGGTGAGCAATATTGAGGTTAGGCGTCGAGTGCTAGGAAAGGCGGGGAAATCAATTGACGAGGCTGTGAAATTACATCGACTGAGATGGTTAGGACATGTGTTACGTATGCCTAGTCATCGCCTTCCTCGACGGACGGGCAATGTTAGCTGATATAGGGTCAGGCTGGAAAAGAGCTAGCGGCGGTCAAACCAAAACATGGCTTCGTCAGTCAATGAAATCCACAACAGTTAGTCTAAGCCACGTAGACTTCCTGGTTAGGGTCCTCGGGACGGTAAAACCAATGGCTGGGAACAAATGGTGACATGGCTCAAAATCATTCTCAGCGGCGCAGATGCATCCACTCCTTGTGACTTATGATTTCAAATGAAACTGTTTTGTTCTTCGTTATTACTATTCCTTTGTCTCACACCTCTGTTTACTGTTTCTATTATGCATTTCTCCTACTTTCTTCTCTTGCTTTGTGTGCTACATGGAGGGAGTGTGGCGACTTGAACTGCCGCACATATGTGCAAAGTTCTATGTCGAAAACCGACCGACCGAACGGTAGAAGTCGGAATTCATGCAGCAGCCATTTCTTGATCGGATCCCAGTGGCTAAATTCTTCTTAAACAATTCAATGAAGTATTAGAGATAAGTTCCACTTAAACTTGACTTCACACAGATTAAAACCCATCATATATATTGTTGATTGGACACTAGTCAGTAACTAAGGTACTGTGTCTAGTCCTTTCATTTGGTGCAGACTGAATTCTATCAGTCATGTTTGTGATGCGGTTACCACGCCACCAAGTGATTCACCATCACGGTGCACTGTGAATTGTTGGTATTAGATAGCTGGGGGCAGTCGGTAGGAAGCCCCAATTGACTGACTTAATTTTCGTGCTAGTTGGCACTCGCCAGTCAGCAAGGCATATCTGTAACCTTGAAGGAACTCATTTCCCCTGTCTGAGATTCGAACTCGCTTCACCCAGTGCTGCGGTTTGAGACGTTACCACTCAGCTATTCGGGCTCACATATATATACGTTCGAGGTGAGTGCGAAATGCGAGTCTGCATGAATCACTGGTGATGTCGAAAAAGATTCGTGATAACCTTTCAGATCTTAGTGCACTGCTAAATGGCTGTTAAGTTTACTGGAAGTATTGCTTCGGGAGTCAGTAAAATATTCCGACAAAGGCGTTTACTTTTGTTGACAACTTCAGTGGTCTGAACATAGGGAACAAAACTGTATTATCTTTAGATGTGACGTCATTATTTACAGATGTTTCTCTTGTTGAAATAATGGTAGCAGGTTGATTGGATCAATTAAAGGAACTTTCAAAGCTGCAGAAGTACGCACATCAGTTACTTAGCCAGACCGATAATGAAATAGTGCACTGAAAATAAATTAGCGTTGATGGAAACATTAATGTTTTTATACAAATAGAACTGATCCTGTGGAGCAAGTTACATAGGTTGTATTCAGAGAAGTCTATCTTTACACATTCTTGAATGTTTTCCAGGTTGGATTGGAGAAAAAGTGAACATATGAATAAATTCCTTATTAGTTTGTTTATTGGATGTATCACACAAAGTGAGTGGAACAGTATTATTATTTACTGGATGACACAGTTTCGAACACAATTTATTGCTGTTCATAATCATATCAATTATAATCATACGAATTCGAAACTTCAGTTTTATAGTTTCCTTTGTTCTCTCCCATTTGTTGTCGTAGGGGTAGTAGAATTTTCCAGATATCCAGGAGAGGTGTTGAGTCACTCCTATTACACGTGTTTGCAGTTGATTCGATAAACAAAGCTTCTGTTATCAATCTCTCCCTCCACCCCACTGTAACATTAGATTTTAAAGCTGTCATCTTATCCCATCATCCTATTGTATGGTTGTGCAAAATTGCATGTAGTGGGTGGTATAGCTGAACTATTCTCTAGATTTCTTATCCCATTCGGTTCAACCAATCTAGATTTTGCTAAGTTTTTATGTTCGGCTAGTTTGACTGACTGCCCCTGTTCTACTACTTTGACACATCTATGTATTTGACCTGACAGTCACTGCAGGTAGGGTATTAGATAAACTAAATTGTTTTGTTTTAAAGGCTCGACAGGATTGATCCTTTAACCGACATAACATGTTTCTAATTGAGTTTGTGGGTTTGAATGATACTTTTATTCCGTCCTGCCTTGTTAAGAATTCTCCGTAAGGTGGTTTCTGAGGTTCCTTCCCTGTATGGAATTATTACGGATGATTTAGATTCCTTATTATTGGTGTTGTCTTGCGCATATTTGACATGCATATCGTCATTATTCACTTGGGTTCCGAGTGGAACACAGAGCTTCAGCAGGTCATTTCGACTTTGTCCTCTTCTCTGCAGTCTTTTCTAGCTTGCTGCATGTTTGCTCATGGATTCTCATCTTATCCTCATACGACCTCCTCTATATCACTCTCGAAGTGACGCCTAACTCTCTGTCTCCCAACTGGCTCCTGCTTGTGAGCCTTGAGTGCGACTTCCCGTAGTAGACTCCTCAACGTGTGTTTGATCTGTCTCCATTTTCTTCGGAAAATTTCTTGAGCAACAGCTTCTTGATATCTTCGATCCCAGAGTTCCTTTTTGCTAATTCTTTTTGATCACCTGATCTTCAGCATAGGGCGAACGTAGCTGTTGATAAAGGCTGCAGAAAGGTGGAAATAGTTTATGTGACGTGCTAAGTTTGTAAAGAAGAACTGACTGACTTCAAATTGGCGTTTAAAATCCGGATCTTGTTTCTTATGCTAAGTGCAGAAGATTCCCAAACCGATCTCAGAGTGATAAAAGGCTACCTTTCCTTTCTAGTTCTTGTTTTGGCATCTCCATCCATGCTCTCATATGTAGTTGAAGTGATGCTGCTACGATAAGTGAAATTTCTGCCATTGATAATTTAGGTTGTTAATGTTGGTTAGGTGTCTCCATCACTTCTGTCTTCCTTACGTTAAACTGAAGTTCTGTCTTCGCTGTCTGCCTCTTCTACCTACTTGTCGGTTTCTACCTGTAGATTGAGTTTGCATCACATTAAACAATAAATCGTCCACGCGCGAAATCCAGATCTTCCAGAATCTTCTTATCAGTCCAACGCATTCCCGTTTTTTTGCTAACCACAGTCTGATGCATAAATCAGTCCACCACAGTTAGGAATATCATTGGTGATACTAGTCAGTCTTGTCTTACTCCTCCGTTATGGATAAGATTTTATTTTGATAAAGTCACACAGTGTTGTTATACAGTAATATTAACTGATGACCACGTTTCGAGCACAAATTATTGCCACTCATAATCATATCAAGTCACTCACACAATATTTTACTTCATTTATATACATGAGTGCATTAACACACAATCACACAATGGAGTAGGAGAGGGTGAAAATTCTAAGAAGTAATATAGGCAGGTGGAGAGAGAGATTGATTACTGAATCCTGCCTGGTTCACCGAGTCTACACCTAACACATGCAACAGAAATGACTCATTGCAATTACCAGAAATTTAATTGGTAGGTGGTGACTATCAGTGGAATCAAGGACAACGCGCATTTCCTCCCATTTGGGACTCGTCATCTGGATGTACATGCATTTCTCAGTGAGTGGTGATGTTCCCACGGAGGCTCGAACCCAGTGTCCATAATTTCAAACGCCAAAGCGTTATCCACTAGACCACTTGGGCCATGAGAGCCACCACCTCTTGTGCGACAGGTCATATTGATTTAATTGAATTTTGGATTTTCCCGTCGGTTGATTGGACCGGAGTGCTCGGTCTCAAGTGGATAACGCTTTGACGTTGGAAACTATAGGCACTGGGTTCGAGCCTCTGTGGGAACATCATCACTCACTGAGAAATGAAGGTACGTCCAGTTGACTGACGAGTCCCAAATAGGACGAAATGCGCATCCTGACTGGATTCCACTGTCGCTATTCACCGTCCACCAATTAAATGCGAATTACATGCCCAGACATCATTGAAGCATCTGAACAAGAAGTCGACATGTCAACCTGAAACCGAGGGGCACTTCGGTCCAATCAATCGAAGGGGAAAATCTAAAAATTCAATTAAATACGAGAAATATTGAAGATATTATTACCACCAGTCAGTCAAATCAGAAGAGGATAATAAATAATCTCAGAATTCTATTTCAATTCAAGCACATCATAACATTCTCCCAGGTTACTTATTTTGACTATAAAAACACTCGTCTTATTTCCCATCTGATTGTATTTAATTGATAACACTCATATTATTATTTCTGAACGTACATTATCCTATATTGATTCTTATTCAAATGTCTAATCATCAATTCCACTCATGTATATAAATGAAGGAAAAAAGTTGTGTGAGTGACTTGATATGATTATGAGCAGGAATAGTTTGTGCTCGAAAGGTGGTCATCAGTTAGTATTACTGTAGAACACTGTGTGATTTACTAAAATAAAATCTTATCCATAATGGAATTATACTCTATCACAGTGCCCAAGTTTCATACTTGCATCGGTTGTCTTACTCCTGTATTCACTCCAAAGGCTAAGCTGAATTTTCCATTGTGGAATAATTGATATGTTAAAGACTTGGAGTACTGAACGCCGTATTGTCGCATTTGTTTTTCCAATTTAATTCTCTGTCAACGCAATTGAAGACAACTTAAAAGTCGATGAATTTGACGTGGAGATCTTACTGGTATTGCATGATGATGCATAGAATTGCAATTTGATCAATAAATAGTGCTATTTTATCTCGTCTAGCCGACAGTGAACACTGCATCAAAACAGATGAGTCATTCCCAGTTGCATATCAAATGTTAAAGCATCCGCCTTAAGGCGCACGACTATGTCTTTTAGCCGCAACTGAAGCTATAGAGATTATTAGGCGTAAACCTAAACTATGTGTGCCTACTAAAAGATCATTAGGGACGTATTCATCTTAAATATCCGTGTCTTCAAGTGCTGGATGTCTGTCACCTCAGTGGATCTCAATCACCCGGAACAGATTTCTCATGCCCCAGACGACAAGTCACACTTATTGTGTTAAGACTGATGACACTAACCAACCATCCAAAGTTACAGTAGTTAGTGAAGCGTCGTTCGAACACTTGATCCACTTTAGATGAAAGCCAAATTCATAAGACAGTCAACCACGTCTTCATACCACCTTTCCGATAGTCTTCTAGTTCAACGACAATAAATAATTGTCATTTAAGACAGAAAAATCACACGCTCGATAATTAGACATTGAAATATATATATACATTTACAGAATAATAAATATTGTTGAACACCTCATTAGAGAAGAAATCAATAAATCTTGAAGGTTATTATTACGCTGATCTGAATACTACACAGTCAACATTTATTACAAACTGTTATTTAAGCTAACGCGGAGAGAGAGAATCTGTTACCCTACTGTTCTAAAAGGCAAATCCATGAGAAATCTGGATGGCTTAAAGACTTTAAATTCCTGAGATGAATTATTGCTTTTGTTAGTTTTCAAGTTACAGGTTCGATTACGAGATGACATCACTTTCAGAACCATTGAACTCGGTGACTGCTTCGTCCCGGTTTAGGACTCTCCACAGTATTCACCCATTGAGGTTCAAACCCAGGACCTCCCGGTTACATGGGAAACTTGTGGAGGATTCAGGCATTGGATCCCGATCCGATGGTCCAGAAATTTCAACTTCTGCCAATTCCCATCATATTTATGTAGCGCGATCACCAGGTAATGTCATGGGCAAGTAACTGTCCTCTTGTCAGACTTGACGGACCCACCTGGTTGCCAATTCTCACTAGAACTTCGAGTAACTGCTTATAGGTGGTGTCAGACTAATTTTCAATTGTTGGTTTGTTTGCAAGGGTTTGATTGGTTACTGGTTGACATCCGTTAGGGAACCATTGGAAAAGAGGGGAGTACTAGACAGCCGTCTCGTTCCAGTCTGTGACTCTTCAACAGCAATGTTTAGTGGTATTTAGGTCAATTTTATCTGGGTGCAAAGTGTATAAAGTTAGACAACACTTAGGGCATTTTCCAAAGATTACTATTATTATACGTAATAGTCCCTAAACAAATATTGATCTTGCGGACAATTCACATGTCGAATGAAAATGAAATGGAGGTTAGTTCAGGAACCCATGTGAAAATTGTTCTGCACCAGTGTAATATCTTCACTAAACGATTATCTCCTGCTTGATGATAATTCAGAAAGAGTGGAAAACCTCTTTGATATATTTCTCTGCAATTCAAATATACGTGAACGTAACGTTTCTAGTGTGACGTTGAAACGTTTCTGAATTAAAATATATATGATGTCTACGCATTGCTTTCCACAACCAGTTTGAATATTCGCGATTCTTAATACAGCTTTCGAAGAATTCAAATCTTACATTTACTTCTGCAAGTTTGAGTTTCTTCACTGGCGAAGGGTCCTTGTTCTTTTTGAGATCGTGGAAAACACCTATTAGAACATTAGAAAGAAGAGAACACGAAGTTCGGTAAAGATGGCGATCTTTTCGGTGATTTTGTTTTCAAAAGCGGTAGAATCGTATTTAAATACATAAATTTACATAGACACAATTATTATTTGATTCCACATGATTATGAAGGCGAATAAAAGGTGACAATTATTTTCAACTTGATATGGTTTGTTTCTAAGCCTCTAGTAAACCATATCAAGTAAATTTATGTATTTAAATGCCAGTTACATAGGCCGTACAGTTAGGCGTCTTTCTCGTCGGATTTTCGAACATCATCCTGCCTGGTTGGTTAAGTAAAGGACAAACAAAATCTATTCGCAGCGCTATTCTATCTCATCTTGTGGATGCAGAACACAAGATTGATGTCAACGAGGCTGCTTTCAAAGTCATTTACCGAATACCTACGAATCTCAATTTTGCCTTAAGAGTTCGAATACTAAATATTGCTGAGGCTGGCTGTTGGGATCCATATTAACAAGCCTAATTTATGCATCCAAAAGAAGCTAGTTCAGACATTGTCCTTACCTTGGTCATCTAGGTTTGAATGATCCTGAATTTTTGTGGAATTTTCCTAATTTTAGTGGATATTCTATTCGCTGTTACATCTTTATTATTATTATAACTTATACATCTTTAATGAACTGCAATTCCATTGTAATCTTACTTAACAAGTCGAAATTATTTAAAAAACACCAATATTGTTATTGACTACTAATCTAGAATATTCTGTGTATATAAACATATACGTTTATTATTGTAGAGCCAGAAGAGGAAATTATCGAAAGGGGAATATTCTTTGCTCAATTATTTTGAGTTTAAAATTTGATGTTGTCCTATAATTGTTTCGCTTACTTGAAGATCTCATTCTGTAAATATTATCTGAAATGTACAACATCTTTCTAATTCTTCGATCACCCCTTTTTTTATTTGTACAAAGTAACTGGTATTGTAGACGGTGTTATCTACTGGCAACGTTGGAATGCATCAAGTCAACGTCAACGTACAAAAATACAAGAAGAAAATAAAAAAGCTTGGATACTTATGCGAATCACACTGACACTAATGGGTATGGCTCCAATATCAAGGTGAGCTAAATTACTTGTAGCTTTCTGAAACAGAATTGTTTAACTAAAGCAATAAATTCGTAAATTCCATTTTATCCTATTTAGAATAAGAGTTACTTCATTTAAAAATCGAATATGAACATTGGTATAATTGATTTCCCATTTTCGAAAACAGTTAGCATCATGAGCTGACGTCACTTATAAAAAGGAAATAAATGTATTAGCTCAATCAATACCCTAGAATTATAATTGTTCCCTTAAGTACCAAGTGGAACTTAAGGCTTCACATCTACTCTTTGTAGTCTTGTTTAACTGATTTCTCGTCACAAGATCTTCCCCACGTCACACATGGACGCCTGACTCGCTTTATCCCATTTGGATCCACCTCGAGAGCCTGACTGGTGTTACGTCACTCAACGGTCTCCTCAGAGTTTGTTCAATCCACCTCCGTTTCCTTCAGCATCTTTGTTAGATGATATATTGTTGGTTGGTCAATTTTATTGAATTTGAGATTTTCCCGTCGATAGATTGAACCGAAGTGCTCGGTCTCAGGTTGACATGTCTGTCGGCTTCTTATGCAGGTGCTTCGACGATGTCTGGGCATATAATTAGAATTTTTAATTGGTGGATGGTGACTAGCGGCAGTGGAATTCAGTCAGGATGCGCATTTCGTTCTATTTGGGACTCGTCCTCCAGCTGGATGTACCTGCATTTCCCAGTTCAATCAATCGCAAGAGGAAAATCTGAAATTCAATTAAATAATCAACATGACCCATTGCACTTGAGGTGCTGGCTCTTGTGGACCAAGTAGTCTAATGGATAACCAGCTTTGGCGTTTGAAACTATGGGCACTGGGTTCGATTCTTGGTGGGAATATCATCACTCACTGCAGAATGTAGGTACACGCAGATGACGGGTCCCGAATGGGACGAAATGCGCACCGTTAGTCACCATCCACCAATTGAATTCTTGGTTGGTTCGTTCCCGGATTTCCCTTTTGATCATCCTTTCTGGCCGGCCATCTGATCTTCAGTACACGGTGAAGGCAGCTCTTGGTGAAAATCAGAAGCCTGTTGGAAATGCCTTCTGTGACACACCAAGCCTCTGGACCACACAAAAGCACTGACTAACTTGACATTAGTGTTTAAGACCCACACCTTGATCCTTATGCTGAGTGCAGCAGATTTCCACGCTGATTTCAAAGTAACAACGGTCTGTCTTGCTTCTCTGATCCTACTTCTGACATTCTCATCTGTACCACCTTTAGTGGAAACAATGCTGTCTAAATAACTGAAAGACGTGACCTTCGAATTTCTCCCGTTGATAATGATTGGTGCTTGTTTTTTGTCAGTTAGATATCTTCATCAGCACTATCTTCTCCATATTCACTTGAAGTCTTATTGTGGTGAAAGCTCTCTGCTACCCAAAATTGGTAGACACCAATTTACGTCAATGTTTACATCCCAAATCTTGGTCATGAGAAAAAAAGAACAAGAACAAAGACTGACTCAACAACCAATCACAGAGGACGCAGCGTGGGCGGATACGATTCGCAGATATGTGGTCTGGCCTTCAAAGAAATGGTCACAAGGAGATGATACCGAGAAAACGACCAATCAGAAGACGCTGTTTCTCTGCTAATAATAACGCTAATAATAATGTACATAAAAATCTATAAATATGTGTTGATTTTCTCAACAGACGATCTTTTGCCTGGCCCTTGTCTTCTGTGGTTACATTTGGTGTTGCTACTTCTTCTGCTGGCTTGTTAGTTTTTGTCTGCAAATCTTCTATTTATGTGTGACACTAAACAGAATTCATCCGCGAAGATCATTTATTCTACAGTCTTCCCATCAGTCAGTTGAATGCCCTATAAAGCGTCCAATTATCCGAATGTAAATGACAATCATTAGCCCCATAAAATTATTCAGCATTTGAGATGTTGAGGTAAATTTCACCCTCAGTCTACAATGGCCAAAGTGATTTTGTACAAAAAGGAATTTTCGTCAGCCATTTCATCCTAGTTTAGCATTCTTTAACAGTTCATATTCATGACCTGATGAGAAGTTCAATCCATGAGTGTGGCTGTAATCACTGGGTAGAGATTCGACCGACTATAATATCTAAATTTGGATCTATCGCTTATGACGTTGACAATATGAACAACTGGTTGCTATCAAGCTAGAGTAGAGTCGTTTTCTAGTCCTCTGTGGTAAATGATTACGTTTCAGCCGATAGTGTGTAGGCGTAACGACAGAAGACAAGGGCCAGGAAACAGATCGTCTGTTGAGAAAATCAATAGATATTTATGGATCTTTATGTACATTATTATTCGTTATTATTGGCAGAGAAACAGCGCCTTCTGATTGGTTGTTTTCCTACCAAAGGTTATTCTGTCATCTCTCTGTGGCCCTTTCTTTGAAGGTCAGACCTTGTATCTGCGAATCGTGTCCACCCACGCTACGTCCGCTGTGATTGGTTGTTGAGTTAGTCTTTGTTCTTGTTATTTTCTCATGACCAAGATATGGGATGTAAACATTGACGTAAATTGGTGTCTACCAATTTTGGCTAGCAGACAGCTCTCACCACTTAGGGACTGAATCTAACCGACACTTCAACAATATTCAAGAGGTAGTTAGTACAGATCTGACTGATTCTAAGCTTGATCAGGTATTGATATCAGCCGGAGAACTATTCAAAATCCGGAGTACTGGACAACTTCCAGTTGGCGATGAAACTTGAAATCAATTATGCTCCAGCAAACCAACTCTTGAAAATTGATCTAGTACTCACTGGAGACTTAATACAGGGTAAATTTGCCTGAATTTCTTATAGGGAGTTGTGACAGAAAAAGAGTACAACAAACCAGGTGTGAGAGCAGGTACTTGCCGATAACATTGGCTGACAGTCACTCTGTAAATCGAGAACCAATAAATTTTAGAATTGCAGGGTCATTGAATCCCAAACCAGTGGTTGAATAGTATACAGTTCATCCTGTACCCTGAATATCCTGGGTTTGATCCATAATGGGTGGGTCCGTACTGATGAAGAGTCCCTAGCTAGGACGATACAGCTTTCCAGCATCCCCTGGCCTTCATTAATATTGTAACATGTATAAAATACTAACTGTTAACTTGTTTTCTCCAAGTTATTCCAATTAGACACATATTAAACTTGGAAATAAAAGCAAATTTTTCGACTGTTAGTAAGGCCATATGCCTTTTATTAAGAGATATTGACATTCATATAGTAGATAAGGTGACTGGTGTCAAGAAGACGGCCTTAATTCCAGGAGGAATTGTTCACTGAGTAAATCCCAAGGAGAAATGTACAATTATAAGGCAGTGAGTCATCTGTCAGTCTGGTTGAGTGACCCAGCAGTCATATGCTACGTTGAGGTTGTGGTCGAACTTGAATATTAAGGTGACTTAACAATTCGTATCGTGTAGGAAGGATCAAGACTCAGGAGTAGTTGTCATTACTGTCGCTTTTAGTAGAATAGTCGTGATGGAAGTATGGTGTTTATCTTGAATGGTCATTTATACTCGACCATCTTAATTATAAAAGAAGGAATTAAGCACGCTCAGTAACCTCTTGACTGACATCAAAACGCCTTGTACTTGTTTGCTAATCTTCACTGAATTTCGGTCGAAAAACGGCAGTGAAGCATCCAGTGTAGTCAACAGATTGTATATCACCTGGCCACTCCATATTGTATCACTTTAAACGTATCCCTTGACTATTAATAGATCAAAAGTTGTCCTTCTGTAACGACAGGAGACAAGGACCAGGCAGCGGATCATCTATATGCTAACTGTATCCGCCCACGCAAAGTGTGCTGTGTTTGGTTGTTGAATCAATCTTTGTTCTTGTTCTTTTATCATGACCAATATTGAGGACATAAACATCAACGTAAAACACTGTCTATCAATTTTAGCTAGTAGCCAGCTCTCACCGCACTTCGACAACACCAAGACGCGTGATAATTGTAATGAAATTTCACAAAAACTTCTAATGGAAGAGGAGTTGTGTAAGACGAATTTTCAGCTCAGGTTAAATATAAGTTTATTTAATTTTTGTGTCACTAGTTGGGTTACAAAGTGAGCCACTGGGCTGAATTCCAATGACCAATCCATCAGTTCTAACGTCTGCCAATTCGTAATATATATAGCGCGACCACTAGCCAGTGTTATCGGCGAGTATCTTTACTTACACCTGACTTGGTGAACCTCTCTGATGACTACCTTCCACGCTTGCTCCAGGCAATTTCATGCTGTCGTCAGTCGCAAGGGAGCACTAGAATAATTTTCAAGCCTTATGGTTTTTTGAAGAGATTGCTGAAGAGTCCGAAACATGGACGAAACAGCTATCCAGCACTTGCTGGTGGTTTTCAATGGTTAGATATCTAAAGTCAGTTCATATTTCATCTTGAAATCAATCGAATGTCCGCAAACAAAAAACAATAGTTGGTATTCAATAACCATTGGATGGATCCCTAATTACACTGAGACATAAAGGCTCTTCATTGATACTATTTCCCTAAACAATCAGCTTTTACTTGAGGTGCTTGATTTGTATATAGTTGTTTTATGATTCCTTCTCCTCCATAGCTAGTCTCTTGTGTGCGTAAGTTTAAACCTAATTAACTATAATCCCCATTTTGCAGGATTAATATTTTTTGTGTGGTTTGATTTCCCTATCATTTCATTATTTCATTGTTTGAACCTCCCTCATCCCTCTTTATGACTTAATTTTGAGTACTTTTTTTTGAAACAGTTTTTTGTGTATGCCAATTTACATAATTCATATTGACATTAGATACTTGGAGGAAATCGGTTGGGAAACCTAGACCTAGGCTTCGTAATTACTGGTACTCTTCAGTAAGGCGTAGCTGAAATCGCCCTGAGACTAATACCCTCTCGGGAATTCGAACTCACATCACATCTTGATACAGTCAAAGGGATTAACATTGATTGAAAAGAGCAAGAAGTTCAGCAAAGATATCTTTTCGGCAATTTCAT